AGTGGATCTTAGGTACCATGGAAACAAGGGTTGAAAAGACTTCAAGTAAACAGAAGTCAAGCAGCTGAGCCAGAGTTTTTCCTAAAGATGTAGCCACAAAATTTTGAGAAGATCCAAATTTTGAAGGCAGTACAGATATACATTACTAGGTTACCAAATGAAGGGCTTCTGAATACTGAACATTTCTAAATCATCTGATATATGCTACCTTCCACTTTTTGTTCATTATAAACGTACGAGAAATACAAAAGTGGTTTCAATTATGAAAAGGGAAAGAAAATGGTAATGAATGATCTCGAATGGATACATCTTGTTACGAGCAATGGTCCAGTCATGCTCAGTGAATATAAACCATCATGCTTTTATTTTGTAGTTTTCCATTGTAAAAGTCCCTTTGATGGAAATTTTATTAAATGTAATTGATCTTTCCTCCTTAGTTGTCAGGAAATGTATCTGATTGTCACAAAATATGCTCCCCAATATTACTGTGAGGCAGAGGTGTCTGTAAAAACAAGCTTGTTGGCAAGGATTTTCTCTGTTTTCTCATGTCATAACCAGTTTGATTTTTTTTTAAGTGCTAAGAAAACGTCTCTGATTTGCAGTGTGTTTCAAGACTACATGTAGTCTCCCATTTCTTAGAGCCTGGTTATAATACTATAGTGAGGCTCTATCCAGGGGAGAGTTGAGGACCAAAGGTTCAGGTCATCAAAACCCCACCAATTCCTCTATTTCAATTCCATTCACAATATTTCTGATCTCACAGGAAAGCAAAAAGCCCTAATATAAAATGTTTACAAATTTTCACCCAGTATTTGCCCACATTGGAGATTTATGACAGCAGGTAAAGAAATGCAATAAAGTAGAGTGTGGGCTTTTTTTCAGGTTTCATTATTTATTATGAAAATAATAGATTCATGGGACTGGAAAAAAAATCAAACAATCAAACTCTCTTTATCACCCCCAGATTCTAAGCTGTCAATGGCTTGTTGGATATTTCTCCAGAAAATTTCAATGCATATTAAAATATATATGCGTCCTCTTTCTTTATTCAATGGGCATATATCACATGCAACGTTCTGTACTTTGGTTTTCATGAAAATTTTTATCTGAAAGATTTTTCCACAGCTTCACATATGGAACAACCTTATTGTGTTAAAAATTGTCACAGTGTTTCACCCTAGGGATGAACAGTCCCCGATATGTTCTGATGTAATAATGGTGCAATGGACAACCTTGTATGCAATCTTTGTGCACATTTTTAATTTTATTTTCAGATAGTTCCTTGACTTATAATTACTCAGTGAAAGGTGTTTGGCTTTCAATATTGCTGTTATTTTCAAATTGACCTTTAAAAACATTGGACCAGTTTATACCACCAACAACAAAGTATGCCTTTAATTAACAGTGTATAGTAACAACTGCTTTGAGTCTGACAATACCTCCTCAGATGTTTAAATAAATAAATACATAAATAAATACCATTTGCATTTTTTTTCCTGTACCTTTGTGTTCAAACTCTACTCAATTTTCTATTAGATTGCTGGTCTTTTTCTTAAGTTGTTTAGGAGCTATTTCCATATTTGTTAAATCTGCTCTTTGGCAAATATATATCTAAAGATAACACAATTAGCTTTTTATCTGTTCCTTGGTTTTATCTATGGTTATTTTGCTCTGATACTCAATTTAATAATGATTTCTTGTAAGGCTTATGAATTCCATGCATTTTAAAAGGCTTTGCACATCAATGAAATCAACCAAACAAATAACTAACAATCCAGAAGAAAATCCAAAATTTTCTTCTAGTGATGATGGTGATGGGACCATGAGGATGTTAAGCCCCAATGGCTAGAATTTATTTTAGTCTTCCGAATGCGACAGAATTCAAGTTTACTTCATTTTTCTGTTTTCCAGCTGCCTACCTTGTCATCTCAGCCCATTCATTCAATAAACTCAATTTCTCATTGATTGAGAAACTGATCTTTATCACATTCTTTTGTTTTGTTTTGTTTTTGAGACAGAGTTTCACTTTATCACCCTCGGTAGAGTGTTGGTGGCATCATAGCTCAAGCAACTTCAAACTCTTCGGCTCAAGTGATCCTCTTACCTCAGCCCCCAGCATAGTTGAGACTATAAGTGCCCTCCACGATGCCTGGCTATTTTTAGAGACAGGGTCTTGCTCTTGTTCAGGCTGGTCTCCAACTCCGGAGCTTAAGCAATCCACTCTCTTAGGCCTCCTAGAGTGCTAGGATTACATGTGTGAGCCACCATGCCCAGCCCAGTCACATTCTAAAAAAGCCTTAGGTATTTGTGTATTTCTTGTTCTTTGTGTTAATCTATTAATCTCTGTGTTTTAACCTTTGCTAAGTCCAACTCTTTTAATTTCTTTAGCTTTAGAATATATTCATAAAGAAGTGAGCTTTCATCTGCATTCTACTACCATTTCAAAATTCTCCCAGTTATTTTCACAAATTATTTTTCATAATATGTTGGTAACATTATAGTTTCATTTATAAATATTGGACATTCAAAAATACTCAGCTTTTCTATGCAAGAATAATATGATGGCTTTCTATTTATTCAAGTCATGGTGTCTTTTTTGCCTGCATAGAATTTAAAATTTCTATTTCCAGAATCCTGTAAATTTCTTCTTATCTTTATACCTATGTATTTTCTTTTACATTGCTATCTAAGGGATAACTTCTACTGCGGTGTGAATTGGCTACCAATACACAGAAAATATGAGGGGTTAGACAAAATTTTCATCAGTTATAGTCTGTATTTTTTGTTTTTAAAATTTTTTTCAGATATGCAAAATCATTTCATTTGTCATAAATGATAATTTACTACTTCATCCTTTGCCTTGTCTAATAATACTGGCTAGTATGTTAGAATGATAACTAATGAAAACTGGTATCTGTGTGCACTTTCGTCTTTTTCATATACTATTTACCTACTTTTAGTTTGTCAACATTTAGCTGAATGCTGTCTTTTTTTGCCAAGTGTGTGACGAAAAGGAAAACAAAAAGCTGTACTGCATTTCATTCCATTCCTGAATCTTAGGAGTACTATGCAAATCTTTCCGTGGCTCTCATCTACCTCTCCTGAAGCTGAATGAAAACATGCCATATATTTTATTTAACTTTACTACATTAAAAGGTAGTTTTCTTCATCAGTGTATGTAATATTAATCAATTTTGTATAGAAATACAGAAAATACATGGTTTGTAGAAAGGAAATCTGTGTGTATGTGTGTGGTTACCAACAAAACGTAGCATAGAGACGGCAGAAGGGCTCAATATCAGAGCAGTTTTGTTTTTATTCATGGTCTTTCCATACAGGCATTTTCATTAGTTTGGTAAAGACAAGCCTAATAGGTTGTAATATTCATTTGAGCTTTTGTGATTTCTTTCTTTTCCCTCTTATCATTAAAAGCTTATGGGTCTGAAATCTTTACAAAGAAATGAGCTGAAACAAATAAAACTCAATTCACTTGAGATTGCAAAGACATCTGATGGAGTTATTTTCTGAGTAATTACACCAAGAGGTGGGACAAGTCCCTGAAGTAAGCTACCCTAGAATTGGACACCAGTTATTTCTGCAGGCACAAGCTTGAATTCCTTGAGCATATTGATTCACAAATTGACAAGCAATTATGTAGAGTTGCTACTGATTTTCTAAGACCATTTTGTTATAAAATATATGTCCCATATACTTTTTTAAAAGTTGCCTTTTCTCAGTCCTCTCACTGTCTGTTCCTTTTCATTATGTCCCATCATATCAAGATGGTCTGGATATTAGGGACATTGACAGTAGATTGCTCCCAACTGCTAGTCTCTATTTGTCCCTGGTTAATCCAACAGTTGGGTATAGATGTGAATTACTTATAATGTTGGTTTTGAAAATGTACATCCATTTTATCACAGAGTGATATCTATGAAGAATAACAAAAGTATTTAAAGGCTTCAATTTTTGTCATGTTTATTGCTCTTCAGCTCAGACATGTCTAACAATGAAAGCTTCATACTTAAAAGATATGTCAATATTATATAATCATAGGTCTGGAAGGGAACTGAGAGTTTGAAGAGTTATTCTCCCTTCTAGAAACTAAAAACACTTAAACCACCATAGGAAGATATCTATCTATCTATCTTCCCAATTTAAAAAACTCTAGAAGATTTGATAACTATCTTAAGTTATCCATTGTGGAGTAAAAGATTGCTATCAAGAAAGTTCCCTTGATAGCTAACCCATACTTCCCAGGTCATTAGAATCTACTTCATCCTTTATATACCTCTAGTGTTTTATCTTTAAGGATGACATTTACAGGACTTTACAATAAAGCCAGGAATTTGATCATATCAGAGGCAAAGACATTGTGACCAAAATCCAACCAGAAAGCTACTGCACTTGTGGTTTCTCCTGTTCCTGGATCCTACACTACCATTGCTCTCAGTCGCCCCAATTCAGCTTTAGATAAGAGTTCAACAGTTAGGATTCATTTCTGGATGTAAATTAGGAATACAGGATGATTTGAATCTATAACATTTATAAATTCCTTTAAAAATATATGAAAGAAAGCAATGCCCCTAATAACATTAGACAGTGATGTACACAAGTTTGATTTATCCTAGTTGAATGTGTTCCCCAGATATCAGGATAATTGGATCTTACTATTACACAAGTACAATCCCAGGACATCTCTCGGGAGGGCATGCACATTATTTCAGTCTATTCATTCACATTATTTGTCTTCTTAAACATAAACTATGTTTTAACTTCTTGTAGTCCCATAGGAACCAAGTCAAGATTTACTCATTGCATTTTACTTTGCAATGCATGGAACAAGATCACCAAATCTTAACCAAACTGACTCAGAACTTTTTGCCAAAGGATAATAACTCTACTTTGAATTTCACAGATTGAAATGATAGTATGACAGTGGGGCCAAGTAGTCAGGAAGTGAGTCATGAACTGCAATCCCAATGTAACGGAAAACTCACCAGAGGTTTCGTCTACTCTCTCATCTACTACGTGGTCCTTCTGATGAACCCATTCACTATTGCACTTGAAGTAGATCTGAGTGGCAGGGCTGGCTTTACAATACAGGTTCACAGGCTTGTTCTTCACAATGTAAGCTTCTTCAGGCTCAATGAGGAAATGTGGCAGAGGCTCAGGTGGATCAGACGGAAATGTTTCTGGGAGTTCATGAAAAAAGTCATCATCTATGAAACAAGAATACAGTGAAAAATGGTCAAAACATTGTAACAACTTGCCTTTTACTTGGTACACATGTAAAAATAATGACTCGTAAATGAACTAATTAAGGGATGTGAATGCCTGCTATGTGCTGTGTGCCAGGCAAGTCAGTATGTTAGATCTACTGACCAGCTGCTCAGTTAAGGATCTGGATTATTACCATTTTTACACACAGCAGAAGTCATCATCAGAGAGGGTTGAATAAGTTGACACAAACACATCAGTAGTGAACAGAACTGAAACTGGGACCCAAGTTTGTCTCAATCAAAAACCGTGATCTTCCTAATGTATTAACTACACTTCCCACTTCACAGCATTACCCTCATTGCAAAGAGCTGACTAGGAATACTAGAAACACGAATTACGGATCTTTAAGTTCAGATTCAAACCAACTGTTATTTTCAAAAGATACCACTGTGTAAAATATTCATGCAGCCAAAAAGAATTTATCGAGCTCAGAATTATGGAAATATAGATGATAACATCAAGTCAGTCAACAGTAGGGCCGAGTAGAGAGCAGAGTCTATAAATGCTATTTAATCTTATTGTGAAATGATACCTCAAATACCATAGGCTATTACATCACTAGTAGCATATATTCTCCTTAGAATATTACTGATAGGTATCGTAAAGAGCAATAGTCTCATTTTTACAGACCTGAAAATTATCAAATATATTGTCCCCCTCCTGATGTTCCATTGCCTTGAATAAACAAAGCCTAAAAACTACTTGAGATGTTTGTAAACCTTGAGGCACATTTTTAACTTGGGTTCTACATGATCCCAAATTAAAAAAAAAAATCATAGACGTGCTCTTTAAAATAAAACCTACCATCATGTTTTATGAAAGTCAAGGTAAAAAGAGCCTTTCCCGTATACTGTTAGTAAGTTACACCTGGTAATTATGGAATATCCCTTCCTATGCAGGATAGAGGAAAACAAAACTATTATTAAGTCCCTAAATTAGTTTGCGCCCTAGGCTAACAGGCAAGGTTAAAACTCTGAGATGAAAAGCAAATATTTTTTTACAAGTTATTTTTAAAAATACATATATACATATTCTTTAGCAGATATAGGATGTGGTATTAGTAAAAGCTGGTAGCTCAGATGTCACCTTGGAACTCATTCCATTATTTATTCAATTGTTCTGTTTGGGGAGATAGACATTGGTGAAGTGGACATCTGTCACTGAGAAACCTGGCCTGGGACACTTTTTATCTAAGCCATGGGATAGTCAAAAGTAATGACAGCTGGTCTCTGCCTATCTTTTTTTCAGTACAAATTGACTTTACTTGCATCTTGCACAAAACTAGCTTTCAAAGCGGCTCTACCATTGTAAATGGCTGGCACTGAGGTGTAAGTGATGCTTCCTGTCGCTAGCTTTCTTTCTCACTTTACTACCTTAATTTGCTTTCTTTTGGCAGGGCATCATTTCTAGTTTTTCCATTGTTGAATATCAAGGACTCAAACTGTCAGCTTACGAAAGAATAACCTGTTTCCATCAATTTCTGTTCCTTTAGTCAATATGCAAGAACTCTCAAGACTGCTTAAATAAACATAGCTCAGAGAGGCAAAGGCATGAGGAACAGAACTATTGACAAATCCATCAGCATGAAACTCATGTCTTAAGGGCCTGACCCAATCTTTCTTTTTTCTAAAGCACTTACTGGTAGATGTGATGATGGACAGTGCTGATAATCAATAAAGCTCCACAAAATGTAAGACTTAAATTCTACAGGAGGTTAGCTGTTGTTTTCAATTATTACTATTCATGAAAGCAGATGGTCAACTGTATATGTATATTTTTACTATTAGTGTATGTTCATACACGTAAAAATGTGTATGCATTACAATAACTATATATTTGTTTAAATATGCAATATATGGGATCTGACAATTAGGTTTGTGAAATTGTCCTAGAAAAAACTGTTACATACTTCATGGCTGAATATCGCTATAGTCACCTTTGAGGGACTCCCCTTGGGGAATTAGGCCCCAACACCAGGGCCTCGTCCACCCCTCAAAGCAATTTTGGAATTCTTTTCTGGAATGGCCAGTAGAGCTGTCATCCTACGAGATGAGCAATTAAGTTTCTGACTCATCCTAGAAAAATGTTTCACTGCTGAACATCACTGCGGTCACCCTGAAGCGCTCCTCTGGGCCATCTGGTGACCATAGTAGTATTCAGCAATGAAGTATGTAGCACTTTTGCTAGGATGAGTTTGCAAACTTAATTGACCGCATATCAAAAGGCTTTCTTTCAGCCATTGTTTTAGGATAAAACTTGTTCCTTTAAAAGGAATGATGGCAGGGTATCAGATGATTGAATGTTATCTTACTTTTTTCAAAAATGTAGCAAAACCATTTTACATGCACATTCTACATAAAAACTTCACAGAAAGACTCTAAAAATTGATCATCCTGTCTTGTCAAAGTATGCATCTCTTCTGGTTATTTATTGCAGACTATTAAAAACACTAACAGAAGCTGAGCAAGTCGTGCATACATCTTCGAGTCAAAAGCCACTCGGTTAAGTGATTAAGGGACAACATAGGAATGATTTAGTAATACGGGAGACAACGTATGAGCAAACTAACTTTGTATTTGCTTAATTTTGAGTTTAAGAGAAGACGATCACAAAAAGTAAAGAGAAATAAACCTGTCTTGGTTTGCAGCTTCACAGTATTGACTTCCCAAGGTCTCTGTTACTACTCAAAATGCAACTCATTAAGGGTAATTTCTATCATTAGAAATGTTTTCTCCATGTGATAAATCCAGTGTTTCCTCTACATATCATTCTAGTTTCTGCAAGTTTCTTAGTCTAGAGAGATGCCTTAAGCATATTAGTTTATTAATATTTCATATAATATTGTCCGTGCCTTGGGTGAACATGCTTCTATACTCAATTCAGGTATTGGGAATGACATTAATAAAGAAAATTCATGACTCTAAATTATAGTGAGATATTTATGATAAAATGTAAAGGGGCTGATTCTCAATGTTCTCACAGGATATTGTGAAATCTTCGCCTTCCTCACTTACAACCAATGGCACAAATACCACACTCAACCCTGAAAGTTGATCCAGATAACGACTCCCTCACCATCAAGTTCATCATGCTAAGATAATGCTGATTCTGGATCTACACAAAAATAACGAGCATCTGAATGTATTATTTCCTGACATAGTGGTATTTTATAAATGTTCTTTAATGAAGTTTTATCAAAAACATTTTCTTAAGTTTTGAAAATCAAACAAGCAAGCTAATTCTCTTCAAGCATAATAATAGTTAAAAATAACTCCCAGCAAAGCAGGAGGAATCACGCTACCAGACCTCAGACTATACTATAAATCCATAGTGACCAAAACAGCATGGTACTGGCACAAAAATAGAGAGGTAGATGTATGGAACAGAATAGAGAGCCAACAGATGAAACCAACTACTTACC